ATTAATACATGTTCAAAAATTCAAAATTTATCTATTAAATAAATTACCCTATCCAAAATGGTAAAATTTCTAAAATTCATCCCGGGCCCACGCGCCCAGATTTCGAAAATTTTCGGAGAAAATCGTTACCCATAATCTCAAGAACTCAAATATAAAATTTTCATCCAATTCCATAACCATTTTCGTGGTGAAAAATCAAAAATACCAATTTTCTAGGTTTTCCTTCAAAACTCCAAATTTCTACAAATTTTCATGTCTAAATCCATATATAAACCATGTATTTAACTTGCAATAGGTGGGAATTAACTTACCTCCAAGTTGCTAGGTGAATGCTCCTCTCAAGAAGCTCCCAAGATTATCCAAGAATGAAGAAATGAGCAAAAATACTCAAATTCCCGCTTTAAACACTCACTACCCAGTGAGCATCGCGCCCGCAACAAAATTTTTCACATTCGCGGCTTCGCACCCGCGATGGATTTTGCGCACCCGCTGCTTCGCACCCGCGATGGATTTTGCGCACCCGCGGCTTCGCACCCGCGATGGATTTTTCGTATCCGCGGCTTCGCACCCGCGATCACACCAGATATCAGCAACCTCAACTCTTCTTCAAATTCCAAATTCGATCCGTTAACCACTCGGAATCCACCCGAGGCCCTCAGGACCTCAACCAAATATACCAACAAGTCTTACAACATCATACAAACTTATTTGAAACTTCAAATCACATAAAAAAAAATGCTAAAACCACGAATTATGCTCCAATTCAAGCTTAATAAAACATAAATTTTCCAACTTCTACATTCGATATCGAAACCTATCAAATCAACTCCGATTGACCTCTAATTTTGCACACAAGTCATAAATGATATAACAGAGCTATAAAAATTTTCGAAACTGTATTCCGACTCCGGTATCAAAAAGTCAACTCCCCGGTCAAACTTTCAAATTTAAATTCTTGTTTTAGCCATTTCAAGTCCAATTTCACTACGGACTTCCAAATAAAATTTCGATCACGCTCCTAAGTCCAAAATCACCATACAGAGCTGTTGGAATCATCAAAATTTTATTCCGAGGTCGTTTGCACATAATTCGACATCCGATCACTATTTGAACTTAAACCTTTTAATTGTTTCATCAAAATTCTATATCTCGGGCTAGGGACCTCATAATTTAATTCTGGGCATACGCCCAAGTCCCAAATCACGATACGGACCTACCAAAATTGTCAAAATACTGATCCGAGTCCGTTTGCTCAAAAAGTTGACCAAAGTCTGAACCAAAACACTGAACCAAGTGTTCCGATTTCAACCCAAACACTTTCAAATCCCGGACCAACCATCCCCACAAGTCATAAATCATTTAAAGCACATACGGGAAGTTTTATTAGGGGAACGGGATTCTAAAAGTTAAAATGACCGGTTGGGTCGTTATACAAACGTCCCAAAACTAGTCAAACAACATGTAAATAAATCAAAATATGCTCCAATGCTTACAATTTAACAATTTATATTGATTCCCAACTCCGCTCGAAAAGTCAATAAAGTCAACCCGCGAGCCCACATTCGCGGATTCCGAAAATATTTGAAGGTAAACTTCACCCATAATGCCACGAACTCAAATATATAATTTATTCCTAATTCCATTTCCAAAATCATGGTGAAAATCCAAAACTATCAATTCTAGGTCTTCCTCTTAAAATCCCAAATATTTCCATAAACTTCCATGTAAAAATCCGTATATAATCCAAGTATTTCACTAAAATTGTGTGAGAATTACTTACCTTGCAATGGTTGATGGAATCTCCACTTGAAACTCTCAAAAAATCGTCCAAACCAAGAGAGAATGAAAGAAAATGGGCAAAATCCTGTATAAAAATCCAATTCTACCTAGCGCTTCCTCGCACATGCGGAACAGTAACCGCTTCTACGGCTCCGCACCTGTGAAAAATACATCGCAGGTGCAGCTCCAGCACAAACCAACATCCCTCGCTTTTGCGCCCTCGGTAGCGCACCTGCACTTTCGCTTTTGCGGGCCTCAAGCGTTTCTGTGCACCCGCACGTGTGCTTCCATGTTTGCTTCTGCGGCCCAGGCCTTCTTGGCCAACCTTCGCTTCTGTGCTCCAATGGTCGCATCTGCGATCACGCAGGTGTGGGAATTCCTTCACACCTACGGCCTCTGCCCAGCTCACTTCCAGCCGCTTCTGCGGCTCACTGCCTCGCTTCTGTGATGAAGCTTCCGTAGAAGCGGTTGCACCAGCAACCAGAATTCTCCAACTTTTCCTTAAGTCCAAAATCCGATTCGTTAACCATCCGAAATCCACCTGAGGTCCCCGGGATCTTGACCAAACATACCAACGAGTCCCACATTACGAACTTAGTCGAGGCCTCAAATCACGCCAAAGAGCATCGAAACTACGAATCGACGATCGAAATCCTTCTTTAAACTTTCAAACTTCGACGAATACGTCTGAACCATACCAAAACATTCCGGAATGACTCCAAACTTTGCGTACAAGTCATAAATCACAATACAAACCTATTCCAAGGCTCGGATCCCAAACGGATATCGATAACACTAAAGCCCACTTCAAACCAAACTTAGAAAATTCTTAAACCTTCAAAATGCCAACCTTCCATAATAAGCACCTAAATGCTCCCGAGTGATCCGATACTCAATCCGAACATACGCCCAAGTCCGAAATCATTATACGAACCTATTGAAACCTTCAAATCCCGATTCCGATGTCGTTTACTCAAAAGTCAAACCTTAGTCAAATTCTTCCAACTTAAAGCTTTCGAAAAAAAAAAATTCTTTCCAAATAAACTTTGAACTCCCCGAAGTTCAATTTCGACTACTAGTACAAGTCATAAAATATGATGTGAAGCTACTCAAGGCCTCAAACCGCCGAACGATGCACTAGAGCTCAAAACGACCCGTCGGATCGTTACACTATAATAGAAACTTATTTACCATCTTTATTTAGGTTCCTTATTAATTTCTTTGTAAATACAAAACCATTAAAAAGAAAAAAAATCCAATATCCCTTAATTTTAGCACGTCAATTACACGACACA